GGCTGCTAAGTTTGTGGGGTTTTTGAGGTCTATGCGGGACAGGCGGTTGTGTTTTGGGAGGGGGGGGGTAAGGCTGTCCGGTCACCTGTGAGAGCCACCAGAGCAGTGTTTTATGTGTTTGGGACCCTGGTGCTGGAGAGGGGGCCCGAGTCTCCGCTCATTAGCACTGTAATAAGGCTGAGCTGCTGCTGCATTAGAACAGGGAGAGGAAGGGAGGGAGGAAGAGGAGGGTGGGAAGGGAGGAAAAGCAAAAAAAAAAAAAAAAAGGAAGATTTTAAATTTTAATAACACTGGTACGATTTTGTAAATCTTTCCTGACAGAAAAGTCCTCATTATTTTCATGTGTCTCTGTGGAGTGTGTGCCTCCCCGGGATGCCCTCCCTCCATCCTGCTCCTAACACACACTTCTCCTTCTCTCCTCAGCACTCCTCCTGTCTTCTATACTTCCACAGCTCTATTGTCCATTCCCATCTTTCAGCCTGTTGTGTTTACCTTACCATTGCTTTCTCAGTTTCCTTTTTAATGCATGATTTTACCACCAGTCAACAGTAGGGGGAGTAGTGTGCACAAAGAAACGCAGAGGGATCAGCAGAAGAAGAAGATGCAGACGTGTTCCTTTTTTTACTGATAAAACTCCATTGACTTTGCTTTTCTTTTCTTTTTTTTTTTCTTTTTTTCAAATAGCCAATTTCCTTTTCCTCAGTGTTGGAAAGTAAAATGAAATAAAAAGAAAAACATGAAATAAAAACATGGGAAGACAGATGCTGTTAACCAACAAAACATCATATTCATTTAACTCATTATAACCTGGTATTGGCATTAACTTTTGTTTTTTCCTGTTTTTAAGTATCTAAATACTTTTTGATTCGCTTCTCTTATTCTCTTTGACTGTTAAGTTGTAGCTTGTATTACAGGTCCATTCTTTTTATAAGTCTGGATCTGATTGGTTGCCAACAATGGACAAATTCCTGTAGCCAATGACACGTCCTCTCATTGACTTTCACCTGCGAGAGTGCAGACAGTGGGGATCACACTGTCTATGTGGGTCAGGCTTCACTCACATCTCTCACTCTCTCTACCCTTTTCTTTCTCTCCCTCCTTCTGTCTCTCTCTTTCTCTCCCTCTCCCCCTCTCTCCCTCTCTGCCTCTCTCTTTCTGGATGTCAAGTGTCAGAGGCAGTGGATGGATCCGGTTTGATAAGTTCTGTTCTGTCTGGCCACGTGTCAGGACAGGATCAACCATTCGGCAGAGGGAAGCCGTGTTCTTCTCTGCCCAATTTTAGGACGGGTTCTTTTTCAGGGAGTGATATTCTGGGGTCAGTTTTTCTTAGAATATTTTTGGTCAGGTTATTTTTGATTTAGTATCAAAACGAAATGTATCAGATGTGCATTTTTACTAAAGTATGTTAGGGGAAATGTATTTTTACACATTCATTTTGTTATATGTTTTGAATTAAAAAAAAAAAAAACTAAAAAAAACCCAAAACTCTCTCTCTCTCTCTCTCTTTTTTCAATTTCATGAATGAATTTACTTAAGGGACATATTACGATTTTGTATTATTGCATAAGAAAATACACACTTTGGTTAGACAATTTAGATATATGATGATCCTGATATACACTTTCTGTGTATATCCATATCAGTCTTTGTTACTACACTTCCCACAATCCCGTGGTCTGACATATGATATGACAGGTTTAGTATTTGGGATTTCCAAGTTTGGGTAGACAGGTGTGGCATGTTCCTATTAAAATGACCTGTCCATAAATGTTCAGGAACACAAAAGAGTCATTTGTACACTTTGTTATAGTTTGGTTTCTATAGAGACAGGTTATGGTCAATAAAATAACACTGCAAGAAGTTCCCTTAAAAATTTAAAGTTGGAAACTCAACGTACTAATGCTGAAGTCTCCGAAATGATTTGTCTGGGTCCATCAGACTAATGAATACACTTTTTACAGTACCACCTTATTTCTCAGCCACGCGCCTCAAACTTGTTGTTGGTTCCCACCCGCGGGCCTCCAGTCAAGTGACCCCTCCCCTTCTGAAAAATTACCCACACAAACTGAGCGATCCTCCCAGTGCTGCTGCCCCCCTCTCTATGTACACAAGACTTCACAGCGCCGCCGCATCTCCTCCGAGTATTTAACTGGGATAAATAATCATGCTAAATAATGAATGTCAATTAATAGTAGGAGACGTGGCCTTGCTAAATATCGTTTGATGAAGGGGTTTCTGTGGGATCTGCGCTACAGTCGGATTCAGCCAATCAGCTTAGCCGCAGACGAATTATCTGTTTCCCCCTTAGACCTCGCAGCGGACATTTTTGTTCTGATCTTGTCTTGTTATGCGGTAGCCTAACACAACGCGTGGCACAAATGGTGATTACAAGCTTACAACGGTTCACCAAAAACATTAAGACTTTTGCCTTTGCCAAGAGGAATTGTAGATGTAGTTTTTATTTCTAATTGGTTTGTTTGTCTGTTAGTAGAATAAAATTAGTTATTATGTTTTTACCCTAATTTTTAGAAGTACTTTTTGGAGAATACAGTTATTTCGGAGGATACAGACATTTTTTACTACTTAGAGGCATTGTGCAACTTTGAAATGCTTTCTTACTGGGAGTGGAGGGATTGCCTCTCCACAGATCTGACATAAAGCCATATCCTGTAACATTCTAGACAAAGCTATACCATCTCCATGGACACAAGCAGGTGACAGAGCCTTCACCAGAAAAAGTTACATAATGCACATTTACTATAAAGAAGTATATGTACTTGTTATTTGTTTTACACGAGGTCACTGATTAAGTATATAATGTTTTCAAATTGTAAATATAATGGAAAGTTGTGGTTTATAAAATGTTAAGATGTTACGTTTTATGGACATCATGTACAGCTCTTTAAAAGTCATAACTGGGCGATTGAATCTTAATGTAGCATTTCGTGTCTGCTTTTCTAAGGAACATAAAATGCATAGTGTTCAATTTCATATCGTATATTTTTGGCGTTGCCGGCAGGATGTCTCACTCCCACTGTTGAGCCCCCTCCCAGCCGCCCCGTCAACATCGCCTTTTGTTTACGGCCCTGGCTCCGGACCAAGAGGCCAGTGGTAACCTGCTGAGCTGAAGCTGCTGCAGGTCTGTTGGCTGGGCGTCCCGTGACTGAAGCTTTAGAGGGTACCCACCTTCTGCCCCCCTCTCCTCCCTCTCCCGCTCCGGTGATAAATGACCACTACATGGGCTATTCATCTCCTGCTTAGAGAAGTGGACAGTGGACACCCCACACCCCTGCCGGGACCCCTCCTCCTCCCCTCCGCATGTCAGCAAATGTGATAATTCCTCCATTTGTCAGGGGCAGTGGAGGGTTGTGAGGGTGTTTTTGTGTGTTTTGGAAAGATGACACACTTCACCACCTTCACTTTTCTTTTTCTTTTTTTCTTTTTCTTTTTTTTTTCTTGTGGAGTTTGTTCAGGTCGCTGTGGGGAGACAAGATTTAAATGTGTTAAGGAGTGAGTGGTTTTATGGCGAATTCCATCAGTAATTCAGAAATTTTATTAGCTCCAGGAAAGTAGTGAGCCACTTTTTCCACTTTATTGTGCAAATAAAGTTTTAGGGTCTGTCTGCCTTGTGTGTGTGTTGCTGGCGTGTCATGGTGAGCGTATGTTTGTATGTGCAAAGTCTGATGGTTTTTCGGCTCAAGTTGGAGGCTGTAGTCAATCAATATGGTTTGGAAGAGTACACTGTGTATCTCTTATCACATGTGAAGTTGGTAGTCTATTGGTACATGATGTAATTTACAGTAAATTGTTGTAAACATTATCTTCAGTGAACTTTTGCACAACTTTGAATAGACCACACAATATTCTATATTTAACTGAAAGATCAATACAGGCTAAAAAAGTGAATTTACAGCCAAACTTACTAAACAAGACTTTTGGGATGCTAGCAGTAATTTGTCAAAGGAACTATAAGTTTTATTTAGACGTTATGTTAATGCAAAATTCATGAATACAGAAAGAAATATTTGATGTCTTTTATTATCTTCATTTTGACAGCTGATTTGTAATGTTTGTGCACTCTGTGTTTCACCTGTTTCAAATTGTTAATCCCTATGGCAACGGACCAGACGGCAGTAACTTAGACAGCATCTAGTGAAGATTTGCAGTGTTTGGAGTAATGCGTTATATAAGTAACGAATTACTGTAATGCATTGCTTTTTCCTGTAACGCAGGAATGTAAGGCATTACGGGGGGGGGAAAGTAATATTTTACTGTAACGCGCATTACAAAGCTTTTTTAACCTGGATTGAAGTGGCGGGTTTTTTGTTTTTTCTTCATACATATTTGCTAAAATCATATCAGCAGTGGTGAAACGCTTAAACGTTATAGTTCCAAATATCGGGACGGTCCTGGAGGTGCCCGTGTAGACTGTCAGGTGACCGCGGACGAAAGGATTGGTGCAGAACTCCTCGCTCCACTGGGCTAATCGCAGCTGACGTCCGATCGTGCTTTACGGACACCCTGCTCCACGGGCTCAGGGTTCTCTCAGGGGCGGTCCTGGATTCCAAGTCCTAGTCCTAGATTAGTCTTGGTTTAGTCCTGGTTCAGACAGAATACGGACAGAAATATTTGATGTCTTTTATTATCTTAATTTTGACATCTGATTTGTTATGTTTGTGCACTCCGTGCTTCATCTGTTTTTATTCTCTTTTTTTATGTCAACCAGAACCAGTTTTCTGTTACATGCAACATTCTGAAGATATTCAAAAGCTATAAAATTTAGTTTCAAATTGTTAATCCCTATGGCAATGGACCACATTTTTCATGATTCTGAAACCCATGGATTTATGTTCTGCGTTTATGCTATGACTGTGCTTTCCTGCATCTATATTTTTCCACTAGTAGTCCTCACATAAACTAGACCCTTTAACTTTCATTGAGAAATAATACAAGTTTAACTTCTCTCCTAACCACTCCCTCTTTTTGTGTCTCCCATTTAGGATCATCCAGAACAGAGTCTTGGTCTTCATCCTGGGCGCCATCATCCTCCTCGTCATCATCCTGGCTATTTATTTCAACGTGAGAGCCCACTGATCACGCCTCGCTCTCACACGCACACACAAACACACACACACACACTCACACACTCCACCCCCATCCCCTTATACAAATACAACACACATAAAGTGATTAATAGCGACAAACGCGTTGTTCAGCTGTAATTAGGACAAATGTTCCCCATGAATCACAGTTTCCAAACGCTGACAGGGAGCCCTTTTTTCCAATCTGCATTTTCTTTTTGCTGTTCCTTTATCCTTTCTTCCCGTTTTCTCTCAACTCTTTCACTTTTTGTTCTCAGTCAGACTCTCCGGGGACACGCAATGTTTTTATGATCCTAAATATTTTTCATGGTGTTGTCTTTAGTGTGCTTTTCTATCCCTCAGCGCACCGCAGCCAGGGAGAGATTTTGTAACAAGCGTTTTCAAATGTATAGATTTTTCCCCATCATTCGCTTCCCACTGGGTCCGGCGTTAGGACAGACAGAGAAGGGTTGGGGCTGAAGGCTTTTGCACATGTATGGAGGTGTAGCAGCAGGACATAAAACTATATGATTCAGCTGTTTTTATGGAGGTCCCAACGCAGAGCAGAGGACAGTGCCTTTAGGTGAGACATGTCGTTAAGAACAGACAGGAGGAGACACTGAACACATGTAAACATAGCGAGGGGAGCCCAGCTAGTGAAGGATTTTACATTGATAAAACCTGTCTATACAAATAATGTTTACAACAACAAGGACACATAAAATATCTGGGTTCTACATGTAACTGGTAAGACTTAAAACTGTAGTCAGACTGCATTACATTTAATTAGCCTTAATAATGACAAAGACTTAAAGCTACCATCTGTAGCAAAACAGAATATGGCTTTTCGCTGATTGGCTGGTGCTCGAACCCACATTTTCGGGGGTTTTGCAAATCGTCTTTTGTATTCTGATTCCTGACCTAGTCGCTAGAGAGAAATGAAATTGAGCAGAGGCACGACAGCCTGGCTAGTTATGTTATGGTTAGGGTATTGAATAGTCACTAAGTCTGACTGATTCTTAATAAACTATTTGTTCATTATGAGTCTTTGTTCATGCTTTATTAAGGCTTATTAAAGTTTAGTTATTATAAGATGTGACCTAGATTTGTATTTAAGGAATATTAACACTCAAAAATTACATATATACGTATTTTTAGCTAAAATTATTAACATAACTTGGGCGGATTATTCTCATATTGGGGAGTTCAACATCAACAACATCACAACTTTGAATTGCAAATACAAAGCACACACAACATGTTTTGACAGACCACAACACACTAACATGGACTTTGTAAGTTTTCTCACTGTAAAGAAATTGTAGCCTCTTACTGTATGTACTACATCATGTATAGTGTCTCAGAGCAGTGATTCTGTTACTATTTATTTATGAACAAATTTATGAAATTTCCATTCAAGTCTCTGTAACTAGGCCTGTACATTTATCAAAGTTTTTACTCATGTTTTTTTTTTTGACGCTGACTGCAACAGGACCAAATGCAAACTTGATTTTTTTTTCCTGTCTTTAATATTTTGTTTAAATCTTAAAACGAGCTTTTAAACATGTACTTTTCAGTTCTTGTACATTTACTGACTATGTGATACAATTGTAGGTGTTAAGAAGAAAAATGAAAACTAAAAATACTACTGTTTCCTTGTGTTTTTGTAATGAAAAGGTGTTACAGATTTTGGATGATTACTTGTTATTAATACAAAATGTCGCTTTATCATAGAAGCAGAGTTGGCCTGTGCCCCCAATGTGCTGCCCAGAGAGGCCATTTGTAATTCTGTTTCAGGGACCAAAGACGGAGGGTTTTTGGGGCGCGCTGAGATGTACCACCCCTCACCCCATCTTCTCTCCCCCCATTTCACCAACCACACTGCTTCTTCAAAGAATCATATTAATGGCCAACAAAATAGTGTGTTTTTGACTGTTCTATGTAAGGCCGAGACACAGAAAATTCAAATGGAGTGAAAAAAAAGAATAGAAGTAGAGAAGTACAAAGGGAATTTTAATATTGAAATATAATATAACTTTTCTAGTGTAATGTCCGCCACCTTCTTGTCTACATGGAGATATAATTGTATTGCTTGGAATGTTCCACTGTATGGTGTTAAACAAATATCTCTTTGGACACAAACAGGCCAAAGTACAAATCAGATCTGTGGAGAGGGAAACCCGCTCACAACAAGAATGTATATTTTTCAGTGTATTATTGTGAGATTAAAACATACAGTATGTAATTAAATAAACGCAAAATGGTCAATGCAGTGGTACATTTCTAACCTGATTCATCAGCCGGTTTCACTTTGTAGAACCTGTCTGACCTTGCAACGTTAGAATTTGTTCGCTCGATAGTAGGTGGGTACATTTTTTATTTAACCAATCTCTGCTATTTGATTGTGATGTATGTAATGTACCGCTAACGGGGCTAACTGGTATATTAAACTTTTACCAAATCCTGTAGGAAGAAGGGCAATAACATCTTTCCCCTTGATTAAATTCACCAAACATTCTCTTTGTTCCGGTTTTAAATCCTCGATCTCGGGAATCGTTGCCAACACAGAATGTCTGGATCTTCGCTGATTGGCTGGTGCCCGAACTCACACTTCTGGGGTTCTTGCAAACCGTCTACTGTATTGCGATTCCTGACCTAGTCACTGGAGAGAAATAAAATTGAGCGGAGGCACTAGGTGGCGCCAGCCTGGCTAGTACATTTCAGGGAGCAATAAAATCTCAATTGAGTCAGGTAGGTGGTGGACAATCCATCAGAAAAGTTACGTAGTGCAGTTTTAATGATAAAGCTACATATTCAAATTAATTAATAGGCAATACCAAAAATGTAAAAGCCTTACATGAGCTGGTACATATATATATAGTAACATAAAATTTATATAGAATGTACAGCGTGAACAGGCACAAATAAAGAAGTTTTCAGTGGGGGTGAGGTCTTTGCCAGTTCCAGATCACTTTTCCCCTTGAGTGGGTGTGTGGGCTGCTCTCTATCACAATGTGGGGGTCTTGAATCACTTTATGGGTACATGCCTTCCACATGATGTAAGTGCTTCAGGGTTTAAAGGTAAGTTCTGGGTTCATTTAGGTTAAGGTGAAGCTTTAGGTTAAGGTTAGGCAAGTCTAGTCATTATGGTTAATGTCAGGATCAGTCTCCAGGAAATGAACGCAAGTCAATGTGACGTCCCCACAAAGCATGGAACGCCAGCATGTGTGTGTACCTACCTCCTCCTGCCACCTTTCTCCCCCTCTCCCTCCCTCGCTCCCTCGCTCCCTCCCTCCCCCTCCCCCCTCAGCCTGTCAGATGCGCGGAGCGGTGGAAGGCAGCGTGGCGGCGGCTTCCTATTTGAAGTTGTAATGGTGTCAAAAAGTCAGGGCTGACTGACAGACGTCATTCCCACAGGGCCTCATTAAAAACACAGCCACTTGACAAGGAAATAATTGCGCGCCGGCGACAACTCGCAGAGCACCCTCCGCGTTTTTACATGTTTTTATTTTCCCTTTCATTATTAGCTCCGGCTATTATGTTCATTAAGAGACGGTATTAAGACAAGTTTTTAAAAGCGGGACAGGCGAGGGAGGGGCGGGGTTAGCGGGCTACGTGGAGGTGCGGCTAACGATTTGTTTTGTCACATGATGCGTCAGTTGTCACCTCTCTTTTTTTCACCTATTCTCTCCGTCTTGTTGGGAATATGAACTGGATTATTCATCATTGCCCCCCAACCCAAACCACACCACCCGCCGTTCCCTGATTTGGTTTTCGACAAGCGTCTCGACTCGGGATGAAAACTTGTCAAGAATAGGTTATATCTTATTCCAAAAGGGCAACAATAGCAGCAGGTACAGACACTTTTAATATTTAATCTAGAGAGGTGTTAACCCTTCTTAAGTGACTGCGCCTCTGTCTCCCATACAGACACGGGACAGGTGAAAAAACCAAAGCAGAGGAACAATTAAAGGCTTGATGTCTGAGGAGTTCTTGTTCTGTCTTTGGGTGTCCTGGTTCATTTGCACCTAGCACCATGGCAGCGCTAGAAGCTTAACACTGCTCAAAGCAAATTTAAACCACCATTCATCTCCATGATTCCATCTTACACTAGAATTCAGATGTATTTCAAGGCACATTTTCCTCGAGTTGTCTGTACAGGGTGTTACAGAATCTACAAATTTGCCATTCGTTTAAACATGGCTTTGCGCTTAGTTCTTAAGAGCTGGCTGTCCTTTCTTGCCAGTTCCTGAGTTTCCTGAGAATGATGAAAAGTTAGGGTTGTTGCCATAAAATTTCAATCAAAACTTTATTTTTTTAGTGATCAACTGTCATCAAAATGGTGCCATATAAATTCACTCGTGAGATTAAAACCATGTTGTCACCACCTCAAAAACACACCTGGAGCTGTGTTTTGTTTCATTCACACATGTTTGACTAACCTTTTATTATTATTTCTGTCTACCTCTCCAAAGCTCAAAATGCTCTGTTTCACCTTGTGATGTCATGAAGTGGTAGCTTTCAAGTTAACAGCTACATTTTATCTTTAGTTCAGCAGATTGGCAATTCCTGGTCTGTAAATGATCCTAATGACTCTCTTGAATGTGTATGGAGTTTATAAACACAATGGAAGCACTTCTCGTATTACCACATGACATCACAAGGTGTTAACAGAGTGTTTTCTGTTTGAGAGAAGAATTCAGCTTAAATATGTAAAATTTTTAGTGTTAAATGTGTGAATGAACCAAACACAACTCCAGGTCTGTTTGTGATGAAAGAACTTTATAACTGAGATCAAAAAATAATAATATGGGCCCTTTAAATCAGTGTTTCACAAACTATTTTTCTGGGGACCCATATTTTAAAAGTCACAAATCTTTGTGATCCAAGTCAATAGACATTATTCGTGAATCACAAAGTATTACCATATTTTTCGGACTATAAGGCACAATATCAGTAATGTTGGATTTTCTCATCTGTTCACATACATAAGGAGCATTAAGCAAAACAAATGGACATTTGACACTTGAGACTTTAGACTGTTTTATTTCTTGCAAGAAGGACTCAAATATAGATTGAGTAATAATGTATTTAATGCAGCTTTGTGCACCTTTGTTTACATTTCACAGAAAGTAAAATTAAAATCACATGACTAATTTGCATAAACTATAAGCAAAAAAAAAAGCAAAACAGCTGCTTCTTGTGCGCTGATGCAGTCAGCTGCTGTCGGACTAAAGAACACGACTCAGTGGAATTATACGGGACTATAAGGCGCACTGTTGATTTTTCAGAAGATTAAGGGATTTTAAGTGCACCTTATAGTCTGAAAAATATGGTACTCAAGTGCACAGAGAAGAAGTGAGGAGCGGGGGTGCGCAGAGAGGAAGGGGGGAAGGGGGGTGCAGATGGTGATAAGGCGACCCAGAAAAAATCTCTTATGACCCACCTGAGGGCCGCTACCTACTCTTTGGGAAACAATGCTTTAAATCCATGAATAGATAAGTAGCTGGGTGGGAGGCTCGACTCTCATCTCTGGGACAGTCCCACGTTCGACCCCCTCACACACACGCTTGCACACACACGCATGCACACACACGCATGCACACCACCACAGTACCAAAGGAGGCCCATACCACAATGCCTCTGTGTGTGTACTACAATAGCTCTTGTGCCCTATCTAAACGTATGGGGCAGTAAAAACGTGCAGAGAAAAAAGGAGCCATGTTCTCTGTTTGTACACACAGGCAGCTCCGGCAGAATGGACGTCTTTCTCTCCGCCGTCCTTTATCTGTCGCTCGCCTCCATCAGCGTGAGCCAACGCTTTATTAGCATTTGTCCACACACAAACCACAATGAGGCTATTATTACACAGTGGACATGCATATAAAGTACATGTGATGCTGGTTTGACGGGTTTAACTGTAATCACGATTAGGATGCTGAAGTCGTCATATGCCTCGTTAATGGGTTTTGGCTGAACTTTTTACAGACGTGTTATATGTGCACCTTGGAACAATCTTTAGTTAAAGCTTGCACTACGCTGTTTTCTGATTTATGTTATAAAGTTGTTTCTTCATCAAAACATACCTGGAGTTGTGTTTTGTTTTATTCACACAAGTTTAACACACAAACCCTGCATATTGAGGTGCTCCACTGTGTTTTTAAACTTCATATACGTTCATTAGAATCATTTGGATCATTTCAGCCTTGGAATTGTCCATCGCTCTTGAACTAAAGGTAGAAGAACTTAAGAACAACAATTACCTAATATCACAAGAGGGAACAGAGAATTTTGAGTTTTGGAGATGTACACAGACTAATAATAAAGGGTTACTCAAACGTGTAAAAGAAACACAACTCTAGGTATGTTTTAAATGAGGAAACAACCATCACAAGACTCGATCTTGCATAATAGGACATTTAAAGTGAGTTTGAAAGGACGCTGGGGCAACCATAACAAAATATGCAAACTCTTCAGACAGGTTTGTGGTCCACCATTGCTTTGCTTCACTTTCCAAAATCACCCCTTTTCCAAAGAAGTTGTGAAAGCAGGAACATGTCTGACAGATTTAAAGTACCACGTAAACTCACTGTAGGTTCTATTTTTGCTTATGTCACAAACCAGGAAGACTTTAGAAAGATGCGAT